GGATTTGGTCAACCTCAAGCACACGTGAGGATATGTTGTATCTTCAACTTTCCAAAATCAGGTTCTTTTTAAAAAAAAAAAAAAAAAAAAAATGACCTAATACATTTGACCTAATCTCATAGTGTAGACATGGATTTACAGACAGTGATGTCTGTCTCTCAAATGAAACAAGGATTAAAAGTCAAAGTCCAGGTAGCTGTGGGCCTTTGCGACCCCAAAGATTTTTTGACTAGGTCAATCATCTAGTCTACAAGGGACAAGGAAGTATGTAGGCTGACTGGCTTTTATGGTAGCTCAGGGTCAATTGGTTTAAATACAGTTTTGCTGGCCAATGTGGACAGCAGCGAAGTCACCTTGCAAGCAGACTGAAGCAAAGCTACATGTTTGTTTATGTTTTAATAGAATAGAACTATAACACTTTCTGGCCACATCCACAATGCTCAGCCACCCACCAGTTCAACCACAGCCCAGTTTAAACTGGGCTTAAGTACAGTTGTAGACAAAATAACTTGGAACAAGAATTGTTCAGCCAGCACTTATAACCAAAATGTGTTAGATGTTATAGCCTTGGTCTGTGTAGCTGGACTAAATCATGGTCTATTTATTCCTTGTTTAGCCCCACCATACTGACAAGCCAAACTTGTCATATTTTAAACCAACTCAGTAAAACAATTCCTAGTCCATAGTAATCAGATCCAATAACCTAGACATAAAATCCTGGAGCCTGCAGGATGCGGCCAATCAGATGAGGCTGAGTTATACATAAGCCCAGCTTTTATATGCAGTTGAAAGGGAGAAGTAGGAAGGGTTTAGAACAGGGCTACTCAACTTTGGAAGCCCAGGAGCCACAATGATACTAACAGCACATGCCAAGGGCCACAACTTAAGTGTGGTTGCACATACATGCAAATATATATGCAAATAGCTTATTTCATACAGAGGCATGACTACAAAGATTAAGGCAAGGCTACACAACAGACAGGCCCCATTTAAGTCAGTTCTGCTGATATTAATAAAATGCAATATTTACCCAATTTCCAACCATATGACAGCACTTTTAATGAGCAACAGTAGTCCAGGAATTTAACTACAACAACACATATCAACAGAAGACTATTATATTGACTACTTTTTTGTTTTGGCTCCCACCCGCAGGCCACAAACAAACAGGCCGCATGTTAAGTAGCCTTGGTCTAGAATATACAAGTCCAAACAGAACATTTTCCCATGACAACAGAACAATTTTGTATTAAATATAAAATTTAGTCAATATACAGATTGAGAAACCAGCTTGAGAATTCTAATACATGCAGGACTGGAGTACATGCATCGCCTAATCCTCAAAAAATGAAGTTTACAGGATTTTTCGAAACAGGTCATTTCTGTTGAAAGATCCCCGTCTTGACCGCGGGTTTTTTTCTTCCGAAAAGCAGCTTGTCAAAAAAAAGTTGTGGCCACCATTATGTAAATGAAGCACAGGAAATTCAAATCCCGGCTTTATTTACAGTTTCAATATGTCTAATTTACATCCCTTTATCAAAAAAGGGATGTAGTTTAGACATACCCAGAATGATGTCTTTCTATAGCAATCCAGCCTGCAAGTTATCAAAGCATGGATTGCCTTCACTGCATTGCCTCAGACAGCACAAGCTGAAGCGCAGTGGTGGTACTTGGACTGTAAAAGAAAAATCTATTTGGAACAGCACAATATGACCTTCAAATGGCAAAATTAGATAGAAAAGAACACCAAAAATACTGATAGCAGCAACAAAAAACAATAAATGGAGCACAAGTGTAACAACAGTCTGAAGGGCAACAGCATGTAATAAGACCAACAAAAACTCTTACTATTCTCAAACTTTAAAAAATTATCAGATACCCAACTTTGGAGGCTGATGACACAAGACAATAGCAACACATATTGTTTCAATTATATTAACAGAGAAAGCATAAGCAACAATGTGTAGGTCAGTTCTTTCCTTTTGTCTGGGACTCTCCTGAAATGCTGTTAAGTTAACAAACACAGTATACCTTATCCATCGCTCCTGGGTTATAAGTTTAAAGCAATTAATTAGCTTTTTGAGAAAATTAAGAATGTTTAAGGGTCAGGTCTTTTGGAATTACTTTTTTTAAAAATAGTTTGTTATACCATTGTACAAATGTAAGGTGATTTAATTGATTATTTCCATTACTGCAGGATGCTGAATTTAATTATTTATAAACACAAATTTAAAACTGATACAAAGCAAACTATTTCCAGTGCTACACTGAGTCAGGTACTACAGAAACCACTTCTGATCATGCCTGAGGTGCTCCAACACAAACCTGAGCATAGGTACCTAGTTACTTCTCCCATCACAAATTCTCATAAGCTCTGGAGGAAGAGGGGGCATCTGTCTCTGTGCTTTATTATGAGCCCCACTCTGAGAACGTAACTCTAACCTGCCGTCAGTGTTGTACAGACGCTGCTCCAAACCCCCTCCCCCCCCAGTGCCAGGAAACTACCTTTCTGGCTCCAGAATCAATCCTATGGTGCAACGTGCTCACTTCTCCGCCTGATTAAGACACCCAACTCCCCCAAAGCCTCTGCACCGAACCTTGCCTCCTCACCACGCCCGCAGCAGCACAAACCCTGCCATGCCAGTGCAAGGCAGCCCTTCCTGGAGCTGCTCCAGGATACACCCCAGCCCGGTGCAGCCCCAGTCCTAGGGCGCACCCCATGCTGGCCAGCCCCCTCCCTCAGGCAATAAAGCCAGATAGAGACAGCTGTCCGGGAGGGGGGCAGGGAGGTGCCCTGCTGGGGAGCTGCTCGAACCCAGCCCGGGGCTGTTCATCCAGCCTGTGCCTCTCGCCTCTCGGCTCCAGCGAGCCTGGCACCATCCCGCCCCCCCTACAGCAGAGAGACAATAGCACTCCCCACCCCGCAGATGGAAGAGTCCGCATTCCCCAGAACGCCGGACGCTACCACCTCCAACAGGTGGAGCCCGCAGCCCTGGCTGAGCCTCTCTCACCCCGCCGCGTCCCATGGCTTCGGAAGGGCAGCGTCTCCTTCCCCTGCGCGCCGTAGCCTAGCCTGATTGCCCCTCGCGGGGGAGGACCGCGTAGGAAGCCGTCCTCTGCCAGCCAATCAGAAGAGCCGGCTTTCTAAGGCGGACCTATGATCTGACGCCCCTGGCCTGCGCTGTGACAGCAGCGAGGGCGGTTGAGCAGCAAAGAGCAATATTCCCCAACGTCGAGGAGGAGCAGGAGGGAGTTCATGTCCGTATCGATTGTTTGTGATTGGCAGGCTGAGAAGGAAAGGGGCGGAGCTACTCTTAAAGGGGACGCATCAACTAACGGCATTCTAGGGGGCCGTAGTTTTCTCTTTACCTCAGAACTAGGGGCCCAGAAAGCAGCCCCTAGGACTCCCGCCCTGCGTTCGTGGGCTCAGCCTGGGCCTGCACGAAGCTACCACGGCACAATAGTGAGGCCTCTCCCACGGGGGGGTGGAGGAACATCCGTGTGCCTTCCCCTTTAACAGGCAGTCGCGAGGATGCTAGAGGGCGCCGATGGGCCCTATAAAGAGGCGGGTGCGCTAACACGGGCTCGGCTTAGCGCTACTTTCCCCTGGCTGTCCGGCTGCTGTGGCTGGGGCGGAGCAGCGCGGCGGGCAGGGTGGCTGCGGAGCGGCGGGGAGCCGGGCTCCGGCTGCGCGCGCGCCGAGATGGATTTCAACATGAAGAAGCTGGCCTCGGACGCGGGGGTCTTCTTCAGCCGCGCCGTGCAGGTGCGGGCGGGGCGGGGGGGCTCTTTCCGTGCTGCCTGCTCCCTCCGGGGGCCGCTCTGGCCGTGCCCTGGGTTTTCCTCCGTGGCGCTCCCATCGGGCCGCTCCGCGAGGGTCTGAGGGCGAGGAGAGTCCCAGCTGGGCTTCTCCTCACGCGTCATCCCCTCCGGGAGGGGCCCTTAGCACGGGCGGGGGGGTGAGGGGATGTAGGCTGTTGCCGCAGCCGCTCCCTTGGCGGGAGCCCCCAGTGCGCGTGGGGGGCGAAGCAGGCTGGTAACTCGGCTCCTGCCGGGGAGCGAGCCGTGAGGCTGAGCCCCCGCCTGAGTGCGGAGAGCCGGGGGCGCTCGGCTCCGTTGCTGCCGCGTATCTGGGTTATGGCTGCAGCCAGGGAGTTGCTCGTGTGGAGTCGCTTCTCTCGTTACCCTTCTGCTCCCGGGGATTCGGCTCCCGCGAGCCCGTGACGCTGTTCTGGCCTGCGGAACGTGCCGCGTATGTGGGGCGCTATGACCGTGGGCTTTTCGCTCTCCCCGGGGCTGCCACGTAGGACCCCGCTCTTAGTAAGAGCCCGAACTAGAGATGCGGGAGTGAGGGAGGAGAGAAGTAGGGGCCGTAAAGCCCCCGAGCCCCGGTATCAGCTTTGCACTGTGAACATTGTTCTCGCTTCCTATGGCTTTCGGGGGAGACTGCTCCTCCGTCATCGTAATAGGCATCTGGAATAAGGTAGGGGAGACTTGTCCTGTTGGTCTCCACCACTCGCTGTCATAACAGTCTCTCAAAGACCTCTGTGGGTGCATTGAAGGGATATGGTGATGCCCTGTTGCCTATGGGAGTATTGCAATGGTTGAGAGCACTGGAGGGGGAAGCTAGTCAGCTGGTAGGCCCTCTCCTATCTATGCCCTCCTAAACCAAGTACGAATTCACTTAAAAACAAACCAGTCCTACTAGCCAAATACACCAAGAGGTGTTGGAATTACAATTCATCTGCAAGTTCAGTTATACTAATGGCTTCAATCGTGATGAGGGATGGTTGGGACAGCCTAACATTCAAAGAAGATGCAAACAGCTCTGTGTAGATTCCTGTGTTAGAAAGGGTACTATCTATTGACTTTGATTCTTATCTGCTTCGTTTTAACTACCCAATCTTCAGGTATTCACTGATTCCCAGTTCTGCCTTTCTGTTTTTTCCCTTGGCTATTTCCATAACCTCTGTTCCTTGTTTCCTGTCCCCCTTCCCCCCCCCCCCCCTCCCCTTCTCCCCTATTTTATTTTGGGTCTGCACATCCTAAACTCGAGTTTCCGGTCATCTGAAGAAGTGGGTTTTGCCCACAAAAGCTCATGATGCCATCTACATGTTTTGTTAGTCTATAAAGTGCTACCAGACCACTTAAGTATATCCTGTACAGACTAACTTGGCTACCCCCTAAAACTTCCAAATATGAATTAATTAGACCAATCTGTTTCTGCCCCTAAAGAGGGTGCATCTTTCTTTCGCTTCGCTTGAATGCCAGCAAAATAGGACAGGGAAGGTAGCCTCCATCTAGCATGTCTGATGATTGTTCTGTCTAAAGCTACTTTGAACTACTGCATGTAGGAGGGGTGGTGGTTGGACTGTCCTGTCTGCTTCAAGCAGGCAAGAAGAAGAATTCCCTCTTCTTCCAAAGTAAAAGCAGCTTGAAACAAACTCTTGAAGGCTGGTGCCCTCCTTTGGTATGATCGTGGGTCTCAGATTCATGGACAGTAAATGGTTAGTACAGGAACATATGGATGAAAATTGAATGTATTCCTTTCTCTATTATGGAATTGCTTGTTCGGTACTCCCTACTAAGTTAGCCTACTAGTCGCTTTGTTGCTGTTTCTCAAACTGTTATCCTGCCTTTTTAATGTGTTCCATCCTGGTAATGGGGTACTCAGAACTTGGCATCGTTGCAGGTATACCAGAGTCCTATAATGCATGTAAAGCATTATGACTTTTTTGCATGGAAGGCATTATAGAAAGGCAAATGACGTACAGAGCAATGAAGAGATAATAGTGGGAGTTAAGAACAGTGAAGTTCACAGTTTCTTTGCTCGGCTTGTGTTCCATATCTGAGTTGTAACTCAGCTCCTTGAATGAAGTATAGGTACAGAATACAAAGCTTTGTAAAGTGTCGTGAATGATGAACAACCTGGGAGGGTGGAGAAGGGTCAAAGTACACACAGACCCCTTTGGTAGCAGGAGGCAGCAAGCTGCTGCCTTGTTTGACAAGCTTAATAAGCCAAAATTCTGTTGTCCATGTGGTACCTGGAAATTTGCAAGGCATTTTAGAGCTCACATTTTAAATAGAGGTGGATTGGAAAAAAAGGATGGCAGACCAAGAGGGAGGAGGAAGGGAAGGTGACTAGCTGTAACTTGAGTGGATTTGGATGTACTACAGTGCAATATTTGTTAGATCATAGCTCTTGAGAAGCTTTAGCATTCCAATTACTGTCTTAACTATAACCGTGGAATGTGGCAGAATAGGTGAGTTTTGCTGCAGATCCTTGGAGAGCAATTTGAAAGCAAAGCAAGGTTGTCTGAAGTAAAAAGGCGATCCCTGCTCTTGAAGCCATGCTAGTCCTGTTAGGATATTAGACCGTCTTCCATACAAGAGGTCAATAGTGGAAGCCTGAAAGTACCCTTCTGGGAACTCAGAACTATGCCTGACTTCCCTTGTTAGGGCTGTGGCATGCATTGGTCCTGAGGTGACTGAAATGTGGTCTAGCTTTGGCAAACTAGATTTAGTATTTGCCTCCTAGCACATTTCCAGAGAGGTTCTTAGTTGAACAAAATCTGGTTCTATGAGGGTGCCCAGTTGCACGACCCTAGTCAGTGTAGAACAGTGGTGGGCAAATACTGGCCCACAGGCAAGATCCAGTTCACTGGTACATGTGCTTGCACAAAGTGCCTGTACCTGCAGAGGTCTGCCAGGAGTTTACCCTGTTGAATTGCTGCTGTTTTATTGCCCACCCCGATGTAGTAGGTAGTAAGATTCCATTTTTTTGACTAGCTTCAACTCAGTTATTTGAAACTTCTATCTTCCCTTCTCAAAGGCTATAGCTAGCACATGGAGGGGTGAGGGGCGGGGTCTGTGGAACTTTCTGGTCTTAAGACAATTCTGATGTAGGGCCTGGACTTGTTCTATCTTCCAACTTGGAGGAGGTTGGATAGTAATGGTATAGACTCCTTCTTGGCTGTCTCAACAGGAGTATGCGTGCAGTGGTGTAGTTGTATTGATCCCAGGATATAAGGTAAAGTGGGTGAGGTAATATCTTTTATTGGACAAACTTCTGTTAATGAGAGAGGCAAGATGTCAAGCTTACGAAGAGTTATTCATCAAGTCAACAGAAGAATGCAGGCTCTTCAAGAAGCTAGTCTATTGTGAGCATGTCTTCTCTTTTATAGCAATGAGTCAGATGCCAGTGGAAGAGAAATAGTTACTTCAGGTACAGAATAAGGAGCAGATGGAGAGCTTAACAATACTGTTCTCATGCAAATGACCTTAACAAAAGGAAAGAAGAAATGCTGGAAAGATATGGCATGTTTGGATTTGGAAGGCCTTATAAAGATCACTTATCAAAGACTTGCACAAGGTGTAGGAAGAAGCCAGCCTAGGGATGAGCAGCTCTTCACATCAGTGATGGGGTAGAGGGGGGCGGTTTTGGTAGAGAGGAATTTATAAATAGTTTCTCTTGGCTACTACGCCCACTTAATATCAACTTGCATGTGAATATTCACATTAATTACAGGCAAATTAAAAGAAACAAAGCAGCATTGTTTAGGACAATTACTAGGGGAGACTCTCTGGGGTTTTGGTAGGTGGGAGAGGATAGGGTTAGTTGAACGATGCTAATTAAAAAAAAATTCCCCTGAAATGTACAAATGTGACTAGTCCCATTTGGGCTGTGTCCTAGCAGAGTCCTGGTATTTGGATTAAAAAGCTAGTCACAACACTGGCACCATGAAGCAGAAGTCTGACAGGCAGATATGTACACCTACAAAAGGCTAAATGGTTGCTGGAGGAGATAGTATGTGACTTTCTGTCAGTCTCTTTTGTTTTTTGTTTTCCCTGTTTTGTTGGGATCAGGGGAATGGAAGGGAGAGCAGATCGGTAGCTGCCCTTTTTTTTTTCAGCACAGCAGACTTCCCCGGGGAAGGGACTCTGAGTTGGCTGGACTAATACTCTTAATTAAAAAAACAACTAGATTGCTTTCTGCTGCTCTAGGCATTTATCAAATAATGTTTCTGGAAATGCAGTGGCTGGTAGGAAAATGCACTAGTCATTATGCACAAGGGACTGAATAGTCGGTTAACCTCATGAATTGTCGATTTACTTGACTGTTCTGTAGTCCCTGGGGTGGGGCTGGCAGCCAGTGTGTTCTGGCCCCACTTCTGAGGTGGTCTCAGAGGTAGCAGCCCGGGGGGCCAGGCAGGAGCTGGTCTGAGGGGAGCCAGTTTAAAACCAGCTCCCCTTGTGGACTGGCTGCCTGCCATCCCATGATGCTGCCTCTAATAGAGGGAGCAGCATGGCATGGCAGCAGCCCCTGTCCGGAGGAAAGGGGCCTGAGCTCCCAGACCTGGTGTGAGCCAGATATGAGCCAGGCTGTGTGCCTGTCTGGCTGCAGCAGGGGTAGGTCCTGGACCCAACATGAGCAAGGACTGAGCCCGGTTGCTGGCCAGCCTGCTAAAGAATTGGCTGGCAGGGGAGGGGCTACATGTAGTCTCTAGTATTAACATAAGCTTTTGCTTATCAGGTAATAGATTACATCAGCATTTCTCAAACTGTGGGTCGTGACCCCCAAGGGCATTGTGACCAACTTACGGGGGGAGGGGTCGCAGCTGGATCTGGTGTGGCTTTTTTGCATTTTTCTCACCGGCATCTCCGGACAGTCTGTGCTCCCTCCGGTCAATTTTCCCATGCTGCATCTGGCAAGGGAGTGAGGAGTGCTGCAGAATCTAGTGAAGGGAGGGGAGGGGGCAGTTGCCA